TCTCAGATGTCCACTTCTGTATTGGGTCTTTGAATTCTGGGGCCTAATATATTTTATTTTATTTTATTTTAAAGAGTAAGGGGGATTTATCAAATTACAGACAAAGTAGTAGGACATTGTCAATGGTTGTTATTTTACCTATTGCTATCTTCAAGATAGTTTCTCAGGAAAACAAATAGACAAATAATAGTGAGAGCCTGATTTTTAAAATTCTTTATATGTTCCAGACAGGTGTCATTTGTCTGAGGGACAGTGGCTAAAATTTTTTCCCAATTTGTGGGATTTCTTTGCACCCTTCTGGTAATTTCTTTTAATGTGCAGAAACATTTCAACAAGATGAGATCCCAGTTGTTGATTCTTTGAAGTATTTCCTGTGCAGTTTGGTTTTTGTTCATTAACTCTCTACCTAACCCTATGTCTTCTTCAAGACTTCCAACTACTTTCTCTTCCATTAGAGCTAGTGTTTCTGTTTTAGTATTTAGATCTTTAGACCATTTTGACTTTATTTGGTGCATAGTGATAAGCTTGGGTCTACTTTTCATCTTCAGCATGTGGAATGCCAGTTCTTCCAGCACCATTTATTAAAGAGGTTACCTTTCTTCCAGGGAACATGTTTGGCCCTTTTGTCAAAGATAAGGTGGCTGAGTGTGTTTGCAGTTGTGTCTGTATCTTGTAATCTGTTCCACTGATCTTCAGGTCTGTTTTTTTGCCAGTACCATGCTGATTTTATCACAGTAGCTTTGCAGCATAATTTCCAGACAGGGATTGTGATACCTCCTGCCCTGCCTTTGTTGCTCAGGACTGCTTTCACTATTCTAGGTCTCCTCTGGTTCCAGATAAATTTCAGGAATATTTTCTCTAGGTCTGTGAGGCATACCAATGGTATTTTCATTGGAATTGCATTGAACTTATACAATTTTGGGAGTATGCCCATTTTCACAATGTAAATTTTTCCTATCCATGAGCAAGGAATATATTTCCATTTTTTGAAATCCTCTTCAATCTCTTCTTTTTGGAGTACTGTAATTTTCTTTGTATAGATCTTTTACTTTCTTTGTTAGATTGATTCCTAAGTATTTCATTTTTTAGATGCTATTATGAAAGATGGTTTCACTAATTTTTCTGTATGTTGTTTGTGTACAGGAATACTATTGATTTTTGAATCTTTGTATACAGCTATGCTACTGAACTTGCTTATTAAATCTAAAAGGCTTTTGGTGGAGTTTTTGGGGTCTTCTATGTAGAGTACTATGTCATCTGTAAATGACAATTTCACTTCTTCCTTTCCTATCCTTGTTGATTAGTTCCTCTCTGTTCTCTAATTGCTCTGGCCAATACTTCCAAAACTATGTTGAGTAGGAGTGGTGACAGTGGACATCCTTGTCTTGTTCCTGATTTTAAGCTGAAAGCTTTCAATTTTTGTCCATTTAGTATCATGTTATCCTTTTGTATGTCATAGATGTTTTTGATCAAATTGAGGTAAAGACCATATATTCCTATTTTCTATAGGGTTTTTATCATGAGTGAGTGTTGGACTTTATCAAAAGCTTTTCTGCATCTATTGAGATGATCATGTGATTTTTGTCTTTGACTCTACTAATATGGTGTATTACAGTAATTGATTTGTGTATATTGAACCAACCCTGCACTGCTGATATGAATCCCACTTAGTCATGATGTATGATTTACTTGATGATTTGCTGCAGTGTTTGCTAGTGCTTTTTTCAGAACTATTCCATCTATATTAATCAGGGAGAACGGTCTGTAGTTCTTTTTCTTGGTTGGGTCTTTCTCTGGTTTTTGTATCAGGGTAATATTTGCCTCCAGGAATGAATTGGGGAGAATTCCTTCCCTTTCAATTTCAGTAAAGAATTTGGGAAGTATTGCTGTTAAATCTTCTCTAAATTCCTTGTAGAATTTAGCAGTGAATCCATCAGGACGAGGACTTTTCTTCATTGGCATGTTTTTCATTATATTTTCAATTTTGTTGACTGATATTGAGTTATTCACAATTTTTATGTCTTCTTCATTCAGCTTTGGTAATTCATATTCATCTAGGAATCAGCTCATTTCCTCTGTGCTTTCCATCTTATGAGAGTAAAGATTTTCAAAGTAGGTATTGATGATCCTCTGAATTTGTACAGGATTTGCAGTGATTTCATCCATTTCATTTCTTCTTGCATGAATTTCAGTTTTTGCTTTCCTTTTTTTGATAAAGTTGGCTAGGCGCTTATCAATTTTTTTATTCTTGTAAAGAATCAGCTCTTTGATTCATTAATTCTTTGCATTTTCTTATTCTCTATTTCATTAATTTCTTCTCTGAGCTTTGTAATTTCCTGCCTACTTTGGGCTTCGGGCTTGCCTTGCTCTTTTTCTAGAAGCTTCAGATGCAGCATAAGACTGTTTATTTTTGCTCTTTCTGTTTTGCTGATGTGGGAATTCACCACTATAAATTTCCCTCTGAAAACTGCTTTCATTGCATCCCACAGGTTCCTGTAAGTTGTGTCTACATTTTTGTTTGACTGTAAATAGTGTTTGATTTCTTCTTGAATTTCATCTAAAACCCATTGGTTGTTCAGGAGGATGTTATTTAATTTCGATGTGTTTATGAAGTTTTTGTGGTTTCTTCTGTAATTTACTTACAATTTCATTTCACTATAGTCTGATAGTATGCATGAGAGAATTTCAATTCCTTTGCATTTATTTAAGCATGTTCTATGTGCTAGAATATGGTCTATTGTAGAGAACATCCCATGTGCAGCTGAGAAGAATGTGTATTTTGATGTTGTTGGGTGGAACACTCTTTAAAGGTCTACTTAGTACATTTGTTCACAAATGTTTGGTTTAATTGTATTATTTCTTTGCTGATTTTTTGTCTGGTTGATCTATCTCTTTGTTATAATGGGGTATTAAAGTCCCCTGCTATGATAGTGTTGCTGCTTATTTCATTTTTTGTATCTGTTATAATTTTTTTATATACTTGGGTGTTCCTGCATTTGGTGCATAGATGTTTATGATTGTTATCTCTTCCTCTGGAAGTTTTCCCCTAACAAGTATGTAGTGACCTTCTTTATCTCTTTTGATCATTCTTGGTTGGAAGTTCCCTTTGTCTGCAAACAGAATAGCTACGCTCCGAAATTTCTGGGTTCCTGTCTCATGGAATATTGTTTTCCATCCTTTGAGCTTCAGTCCTTGAATTTCCTTTTGAGTTAAATGTTTCTTTTTTTTTTAACTACTAATTTCTATTGGCCTATTGAAAGGAACAGTTAGTACTTGTTTGATCGATTTTGTATGCCTGTATGTGGTAATGTGAACAGCTAGTTTGAAGATAACTGTGTGCAGTATAACAACCATTGTTAATTTCCTACCTTCTAGTCATTTTCATTGTTTTTAAAATTTTTATTCTCTTTAAAATAGAAAAAAAAATGAAAATAAAGATGCAGTTACTCATCTGCTTGGTACCATCCCTGTGATAAATGACAGGATTCTTCAAAACTGAAAACCCATCAACCTTAATCAGGTTATTTAAATTGCTCATTTTATTTGATTTTTTTCTGGTACTGGGAATTGAACTCATGACCTCACACTTGCCAGGCAGGTGCTGTGCTGCTGAGCTAAATTCCTAGCCCCAAAATTGCTCATTTTAAAATATACTTCCTGGTAGCTATCTAAGTGCATAAGCACCACATATAGTGAATTAAAGAATATTTTTCAAAGATGTCTTAATCTTTTTAAATAAAAAAGTTTAAAAGTTGTATAAATAGAATACATTGATTTCTTAGGGATGTGCTTAAAGAAACCCACTTTTTACCTCATTGAATGGAAGGATTCTCCCACAAGATTATAAACATGAAGGCGGGAAAACCTAGGGGAAATATTTTTGCACTTTGGCAAAGATTCTTGCTAATATTCATTATTTGCTTCAATCCTAAGTCAGATTTGCTTCTGTCAGAGGTCCCATTATGTACACACACACACACACACACACACACACAAATCAAAGTATAGGAAAAAATTAGCACATACTTTCTATATGCTATCCATTAATAGTGCAAGAATTCACCCAGGTCATTTTAAACATCTCATTTTCTTTCCTCCAAGGAGCTCTAGAAATAACTGTACATGACTCATTCATGGCCAAGAATAAATGTTTTCACTAGAATGTTACAATTTCCTAGGACCTTACTGTTAGGCCTGGCAGAATCTGCTCTCCCTTGTTTGAGGAGCAGTTCATATCTAGAGTATTTAGGAATGATTTCTGAAAGAGGAATGCTGTGTTATCCATGATGGTTAGTTGGAAAGTTTGTCTTCTGGATGAAAAATACGATTTTCTTTGCTTTATCTGTAAAGTTTCAGCAGAAAAACCCATGCAGAAATGGATATAAAGAGGTCTGCTGGTGGCAGGAGGGTGAAGAGGGAAACTGTGCTCATCCCCATTTCCACACTTCTGCCCTTGGCAACTATTGCCTGTTTCAAGGAACATATGAATGGCATTTTAAAGGGATTTGAGCAAAACTAGAAAATCACTCATTTAATTCCAAGATGCATATTCTGTATATTTTCTTATTCACCATTTTAAACACTATAAAAGTGCACTATAAAAGTCATTGAAAAGCAAATATGATGTTGACCTGCACACAGGGTTGAACTATCAGAAGGAAACCAGTTTGAAACACCAGACAAGAGCCAGTAAGAAGCTTATGGCACACTGTAAGTGCTCAACAAATACATTTTCCTTCCCCAGGGAACTCCAGCCTCCATGTAGCAACTCCCAATATGTCACTTTGCGTTGCAGTCTCTGCTGACGTCCACCAATCTAGACCTGACTGCACTTCAGAGGTAAAGAGTTTCAAAAACTTTATTTTGTAGTACTTCTGTGCTGGAATTGTACCTTTAAAAGCCACAGATGATAAATTTCTCATTTGTTACTGCATAAGAAATGCCGCAAAAGTGTAAATAGTTCCTCCGTAAGCTTTTCTTTTTCTTCCATGATTTGGAAATTAAGTCACCATAGAAGAGTGTTTTATTTTATTATCATCAGAGGACATTTCATTAACCAGCTGTTCTGCAGACAACTGGGTAGTGTTCTTGACAAGAGAAGAAGCTGTTTCTATCAAGAGTGTTTCACACCGTTCTGAAGTTCTACCCTCAAAACCACTGTCATTAGCAAAAAAACCCTGATTACTCATTTTCAATGGAAATTAAGAAATGCTTAGGACATTTTTAGATTTTTTAGCATCAAATTCACTGAGTTCTGTGTTTATAATAATAGCAGCAATTGACTCCATTCTTTTGCTTTCTTCTGATTTGGGTTTCTCTACATTGATCTCATTTTCTTTCAAGTCTTCACACAATTCAGTACATTTTGACTGATTCTCTTCTTCAACTACAGTCTCTTGACTTTCATGGTCATTCCAGTTTGGTTCACCTTCTAAGGTACTGTTACTGGACTTTCCGACAGTTTGCTGTTCTGGTATTGCAAGTGAAGGAGTAACATCAGAAGCCACTGGTTGCTGACTGACTATTTCTGAACTTTCAAATGGGCCTGCTTGCTGGGACTGAACACTTTGCTTTTCTTCCATCACTGCAGTTTCCTTTTCAAAGATTAGCATTCCTGTCTGAATAGCAGAATGCCCATTACCTAATTTGAGTTCTACTGAAATCACATTCTCTCTAGGCATTATTCTCTTGCTCACATTTGACTTACAGAACTCATTGCCATCTTTTTGTGAGATGCCTTCACTGGATTTTGCATCGACTTAGGCTTTGTTTCCTCGTCATTGGATTGGGTCTGAGTTTGTATAGCCAAAGCTTCAGTCTCATACTGGACTTTTAGACAGCAGCCCAAGTCTTCTATAATTTTGAAATGATGACTCTTTTGTGCCCCTCTTGAGAATTTTATGTAGGGAATCTTAAGTCTGGATTTAACCTTTTTCTTAGAAAAATCAGCATCCTCAGCCTTTATTTCAGGATGCACTTCAGCCTCAAATGGCTTCTGCTGCTTTGAAGAATCTGACCTTTTCCTACATGCCACTAGGCCTTTGACTGAGGCCCAGGCACCACCTGGACACTCTGGCTGATCAGAAGCTCCTGCTTCTAGGGGAGCCTTCCTTCCTGCACCAGCAGCTTCAGTGCCAGCATTGGGCTTGAACACCTTGGATGCTTTCTTTCTTTTCTTGAAACAAAGCATAGATGTTTTCTCCTCCTGTCCCTCATCTTGAGGGCTAACTTCTGTAGATCTCTTCTGATCCTTATTTTCTACTTGAATTTCAGATTCTGTTCTTTTGCTTAATTTCTGGGATCTTGATCAGTATATGTCTGGGTGTAGATTTATTTTGCTTATGGATAATTGGAGTTCTATATGCCTCCCTTACCTGTGTGTCTGATTCTTTTTGCATGCTTGGGAAATTTTCTGCTATTATTTCTGCAAACACTATTTATGTCTTTTGTGTTAATGCCTGTTGTTCCCTTACACCTATTAATCTTACACTGTTTTTGTTTGCTTCGCCTTGCAGTTATTGAATTGTTATTTCCTGGCTCCTTGTTATTTTTT